CTGCCAATGGCAAAATCCGATGCGTCACAGACGACGCTAAACGGTCGGTCAGGGTCTGGCAAAGCCAAAATAGGAGCATGTAGAAGGCTTGCCTTCACTGCTTGAAAAGCATTTTCGTGTTCGGCATGCCAACACCATTCCACATCCTTTTTAAGGAGATTGGATAACGGCCGAGCCATATCAGCGTAATTTTCGCTATACTTGTGTAAGTAATTGGCAAGGCCAAGCCATTTACGCAAGTCCTTCTGAGATTGTGGAACAGGCCAATCGACTATGGCTTTGACTTTGGCGGGATCCGCTCGTAGTCCTCGCTTCCCAATGAAGCACCCTAGAAAGGGAATTTCTTCGGCCCCGAAGATGCACTTAGAGGCATTAGCATATAATTTATTAGTGCGCATGCACTCGAGCACTGCTCGTAAATGAACAATATGGTTCTCGATATCTGACCGACCATGTTCAGCTCGGCTATGGACAAAAATGTCATCAAAATACGTCTGTGCATAACTTCGATGGGGTCGAAACAATTGCGTCACCAAACGGTTAAACGTAGCCGGAGCATTAGATAGCCCTTGGGGCATCATTAACCACTCCCAGAGCATACCGCTCGGAGTACTAACAGCAGTAAGCGGAATATCACTAGCTCGCATGAGCAATTGGTAATAACCATCGACTAAGTCGAGCGCACTGTACATGGTACAACCGACCATATTGTTCTGAAGAACATCCTTTCTAGGTATCGGTGTCTGTGCAGGTATAGTGGCCGCATTGAGCTTATTATAAGCATGAACAATACGCCATTTACCATTTGGTTTCTTAACACAGAAAGTGGGTGTCGAGTGCGGAGATTTACTTTCACGCACCATGCCCGCCGCGTGCTTTGCACGAAAGAACTCGTCAATGACGTCACACTGTTCTTTGGGTAAAGGCCACTGCCGTGTTACACAGTATTTGGTTCCGGGAACCAAGTCAATTTCATGACGTACGCCCCTATCAGGTGGTAGAACCGACGGTGGATCGTGACACACCACGTCCTGGAATTCTTTTACCAAAGGATAGTAGGGATCTGAAGGGTCCTTTAGAATAGATGCCCCACTACGTGCACTTAGTGCCGCTTTGGTATCTTCAAGGACTGTCTCATCGACAAGCGAGGATGAGTTCAGCTCGAGGTTAGGTCGAATGACCACCATATCGGACAGAGCACCTGCCTTCAAGGCCTGATGAAATTCATCCACAGACATTTCGCCTAGCTCTAAAAGAGCATTTAATGATGGGAGGGCCTTAAGGTCAACCTCACCATCTACATCACCTGTCACTCCGTTGACCAGGGTGTACAACTGGTCATTGACATTACTATGCGATAAAACAGACGCTTTGAGCCTCGCAGCCGCCATCTGGCGACGCTGCCGTCTCATTGACGAGACCGTACTCTTTGAAGTACTTGGGATGTTATCTTCCCCAAGGTCAACAGACCCCTTGTCGTTTACCTGCCCTATGTAAGGGCCGATGTCATTACCGACACCCAATGGGTCACTAGTACCAGTGACTTCACTAACAAGGTCATTGACCTTCACTCGCTCTATACGAGAGCCGATGTCATTACCGACATCCAGTGAATCTCATTTACAGCCAATATCACTAACAAGGTCATCGACCTTAACTTGCTCTATACGAGAGCCGATGTCATTACCGACATCCAGTGAATCGCATTTACAGCCAATATCACTAACAAGGTCATTGACCTTCACTCGCTCTATACGAGAGCCGATGTCATTACCGACATCCAGTAAATCGCATTTACAGCCAATATTACTATGAGTATCACTTAACGGAGTACGTGCCGTTCCACTAAGTGTCATTGAGCTCTGCTCGACACTATTATTGCTGACATCGGAGTTTATCAACTCAGACACTCCAATGTCCAGCACATTAACTGAATCAGTTAATGGCTCGCGCCAATAGCACTTTTGTTTTCTAGCGAAGGTGGGTTCATGACTCTCCAAAGCTTCGCTAGGAACATTGCGCGTTGCGCCTAAGGTTTTGGATCTCCAATCGATCCACGGCTCATGGCGTTCCAGCCAGGCCATACCGAGAATGAGATCATATCTCGAGTCCAAATCTAGACAAGACAGCGTTCAACGCTATTGAAATCTAAAAATTTCACACCTAAGTTCAACGGAACTTTAGGAACGGTGACACGTACACCAGTCGCGAGACGTACGGTTATACTGTCACCCTCTTGCGCTTCCAGCGCCTCAGCATACAGCTGACTCCCCTCAAGGGAGCGACGTCGGACATAGTTCCCTGACGCCCCTGAGTCAATTAAAATTGACCAGGGTTTCTCAAAACCCTTAACGGTTGCCGACACAACCAACAAGCCTGGCTTGTAATTTTGTTCTATGGGAGCATCCACAGAACCACCTGGGGCTAAGCCCTGTTTACCTTTACCTCCTAAAGATTCAACAGAACTTAGTTCTTTCCCAGTAGGGCGCCCCGCGCCTACTGGGAGTCGACATTTTCCCCTGCGGTGCTCGCCTTTTGGCTAGGAGCAGGGCTTCGGCTTTGCCGATTTGAACGTTGCTTTCGCAACGGACAGCTAGGGCGGAGATGCCTAGTGCTTCCGCACATGTAACATCTACGGATGCTACCTTGCTGCTCAGCAGCTTGAAGCTCAGCTTCTTCAGCATGGCTGAGGTCCATGGGTTCCGCCCTATTAGAGGTATTTGATTGATACCAGGGCAGACCATATCGAGCAGATTTAAAATTGAATTCAGCGTTAAATGCTACGCTTACTGCCTCCTCAAAAGTTGAAGGCTGGACACGTAAAACTTCCGTCCTGGCGACCCCAGTGCGAAGTCCCTCCATAAAAATGGTTACTCGGACTTCCTCTGCCAGTGGGTCCTGCTGCATAGCAGCAATGAGAGTTCTCAACTCTTGGACATAGTCCGACAATTCTTTCTTACCCTTTCGGGTAGCTAGGAAGCGTGAGCGCACACGATAAGCCTGATTAGGCGGTGCAAACACACAAGTTAATTGCTTTTTAAGCATCTCCCATGTGGGAAATGCAGCATTTACAGAGACACCGCTCGTTAGAGCCCACTCTCTAGCTCTTCCACCGAGCTTAGAAATGGCCAAGCCAACTCGTTGCTTATCGGATGCAAGCATGGCGGCATCCATTGCCATTTCAACTTCTCGGATCCAGAGGAGAAGGTTCTCTCCCTCCTTCCCCTCGAAGGTCTTGACACTTAAAACAAGTGGACGAGCCTTTGGCTCTGCATCGGTCACAGGTACCGAAATGTACTGTATAGGCGCGGCTGACGCTGCCTGGTCATGGACCTGCCCGAGGAGCGTTGCCTCGTAACGCATAAAGGCCTCAAGACGAGAATTTAGAACCTCGGGGCCTTGGGCCAAAAGGGCCTCGATTTGATCAGGCCCGACGAACGCAGATAGTTTATCTAAGGCGAGTCGTTGTGCCTCAGAGAGGTGATTTTGATTCTCCATTATCACAGAGGGTCAGTCTTTAAAGACTCAGGTGTAGGATTGCCTACAAGTGCTACCAAGTGTAGCGGAGCTGCACAGCTCTTTAGCCAGAGGAAGACTTTCGGCTGGAAGCCTCTTAGTTCGAGAGAACTAAATAGAGTTAAGGCTAAAAGCCACTTAGTTCTAAGGAACTAATTAAACGACTGAAAGTAACCCTGTTCTAAGGAACTAGAAGAGAGACTTTAGTCAGTCAAGCAATAAGCTTAAGGCTCAGAGAACCAACGCACAGGGTGCAAGAACAAGCTAGAAGCTTAGAGGTTCAGAGAACCAACGCACGAAGTGCACAAGAGAACAAGTCAGAACGACTTGTGATCATAAACTCAAAAGGAGAACGGATTTTATTTATGCTTTAAGATTTTATGAATAGTCCTACTCTAAGTACACTACACTAGATTAATTACTATAATAGTAATTATTATATGCAGACTTTGCTATTGGACGACGTATCGTCTAAACATCTGTGTATGATGTACTTAGTACAGCGTTATCGATTATCGAATCCTAATCGATAAGATACGGTATTACCGAATACCGTATCTCAACGCTTATACTTAATACCTCTCTAAAGAGAAGTATCATAATGCATTATATGCAATACAAGGGGAGTTTAACCGTAAACTCCCGGAAAGACGCTACAACCGTCGTGTAACCCCGTTACAGATATCCTTGCCATAGATGAGCACTAGCTAAGTTTCGCGTCTATCTCCTTAGGAGATAGACCGTTCATAGTGTATACAGATCATGCTTCATTTCGCACGTCTGTAAACAGTCCACTCCTCTCGCAAAGAATGGCGAGATGGTGGTCGTTTTTGCGGAATATAACGTTTTCGTGGAGTATATCGGGACGACTAAATGTCGTCGCTGATGCGCTCTCACGTCGGCCTGACTTCGAGCCGACTGTATAGTCCGACAGCGATGTGGATACCACTGTCGTACGCTGAGTACCAGCGTTCTGTCGTCGAATATACTCGACGACATTAGATTGGCATGCGCACAAGATAGTGATCCTTTGCGCCTGATGGAGTACCTCAAGGACCCATCCAAGCAAGCCAAGTAGCGCTTGCCTGCCATGTATCGATCTTTTATTGATCAATACACTCAGCGGAACGGCTAACTGTATTACACAGCCGCCAACGGCGACACGCCTCGTGTCGTCGTACCGCCCCAGCATGATCTCAGATTACGGAACATGTTTGAATGCCACGATATGGGCATCGCGGCCGTGAGAAGACTTACCTCACGGTCAGTCGCGGACGTTTACTGGCCTCACCAGTATAAGTTTGTGCGCAAGTACATTCGTGCTTGCGAGGCGTGTAGATCCGTCTATAAACACCCAACATGTATGTAGCCATGCTATACCTGTCACATCGAATTTTTCGTGCATGTAGCCATGTTATACCCATGAACATCGTATGTCTCGTCACATTATTACGTATCAAACATAAAAGTCATTATAACCAATAATGACGACTAAGAAGGAGAGCTCATCACCTGCACAGGAGCTGCAGACGACGCTGACGGACCCTCGCTACTTGCGTGGTGTGTCTCTACTCAAGAATAAGCGTCTGGAGGAGGCAGTGGTGGTTTTTGAGGATTTATTGCGTACATTGTGTGACGTGGAGGGCAAGAGTGATTCATTGGCTGTAGCTCCTATCTATTACGAATATGGTCATGCTCTATTGTGTCTTACTGAGGCCAGTGCAAGTCTATTTGGTGGTGCAGTTGAAGATGCTGGAGTTAGTGGAGAGAAAGACGGGGAAAAGGACACTAAGGACTCGTCGGATGACTTGGAAACGGCTTGGGAGGTCATGGAACTAGCGCGTGTCATTTACTTGCGCTATCCAGAGGACCAAGCAGTCGAAATGCAGCTGGTTAGAGTGTATACGAGACTAGGAGACTTGGGTCTTGAATGTGACCAGTATGAGCAGGCTAAGGCAGATTTTGAGAAGGCTCTGCTACTGCGGAGGAAGCTGCTGAAGGCCACAAATGCTGAGGACACGACTCAATTGGCTGATTTGTATTGTCAGTTGGCTATTGCATGTATCTACAGAGACTCAACACAGGACAAGGAACAGGACAAGGAACAGGACAAGGAACAGGACAAGGAACAGGAGCAGGAGATAGAGGAAGTTCCGAACGAGGAACTTTTCTACTACGTCATGGCTGGACGAGTCATGGCAGATAATATCCATCGGGTGGCGAGAAAATGTGAAGACAAGGTGCAGGTATTTGTAACGAATCGTGTCCCCAAGTACTCGATTGAGGGAGATCGTGGTGTAGAGCTTAAGGGCAAAGGCAAGAGGAAAGACTTGTCGAGCACAGGAGATTCGACGCTCACGTTGCAATTTAATGGAGAACGTCCCGAGGCCCTTCGTGAGGAGTATTTGACTTGTCTCGACGTCAAGGAGGAACAGAAAGACACACTGAAAGCGGACGAGAAGACTCTGCTGGAGTACCTGGAGATTTACTTGGAACTAAAGGAGAAGGTGGACAGCATTATAGAGACTGTCAAGAACGCTGTTTCAAAGATGGACAAGGGAACGGACGAAGCGGTGACAACTGTTGGATTCAGTCAGACCGAGACATCAGATGATGCTGGTGCCCCAGTAGTGAACGTGATTTCGGTGAAGAAGCGGAAGATAGAAGCACCTGCAGCCAAGTCAGAGACCCTGGCACCTGCTAATAGCAAATGAAATTGCGGCATACGTACAAGCCTGCACCAAGACACTTCTTCTCTGCTTGACTCAGCCTGCTTTGGTATCTTCATATTCATTCTTGGCTCTTTTTTCTAGTCAGGTTGTTGTTGTTGCGCGAATCCTAAGCGCTGCGGTACGAATCACGAACGAGCTGGAAGATCTTGGTGGTGTCTGCATCAGCAGAAGCACTAACGCTGAAAACCTCAAGCTGCAGCTCATCAAGAACATCTTCAAGCGGTACACGGTACCGATCGCCTACAGCCTGCATCTGCGCCAAAGTACTACGAAACCAGTTGTCACGAGGGTCTGAGCCCTCTGCATCGCACTCCGCCTTGTGCTCTGTAATTACTCTGTTAAACCCACTGAACAGAAGCACAAGCAGCTGACGCAGATCATTCTGAAGGCGTTTGCGGCCGTCCTCGACTATTTCGACGTCAGGCATGTCCTCGTCACGGTCGTCTGATAATTTGGGCAAAGTAGCCTGCTCTAACTGCCGCGTCTTAGCGCTAATGGCATCTTGTATAAACTTCAACGTATCGTGAAGTATCTCCCACACGTATGGCCAACTGTACTGCTGCACAGCATCAGGGGTGAAGACCCATGTTATAATGGTGGATGGACGGAAAAGCCCTTGACGTAGCATAGCATTTAGAATTAAGCCGATGTGCTGCGGCGACTTCAGCCAAACGGAAGCCACAGTCTTGACCAGCGAAAGTTCGTCAGCATCCATTTCATCGCCCGACTGATTTTCTCCACCAAAGAGCTCATAACGTTTGCCGTACTTTTCCAGCAATAGACGCATGTGTGTGAACGTAGCCGCCCCAGCCTCCAGGATGCACGTCCAGACCACTTCCACAGCTTCTCCGCGTGAGATCTCCAGACGAGGAAGTTCTTCGTTAAGCCAAGTGCGCAAAGCAGTAGCTGGTGGGTGGCCTTTCAGTTTTGTCGTCACAGACTGATAGAACTCTGATGCAGCGTCGGGTTCATCAGCCACTGCACCAGCAGCATCTTTCTCTTTTGCGGACTGGAAGCGGATACGAGGCTTGGGTGTCGGAGGCAAAAGCACGTGAAAATCAGCAGGTAGGGCGCTCTGCATGTGTTGCAGGTACGAGAGGCGCACACAACGCTCGATTACAGCGCTGACAAAAAGACGTTGAGGATCGTCCTCGCTGGCTTCCAGAACATACGACCACGCGGACCAACGCCACTTGAACTCAAAGTTAGACAGGAAGTGGCTCAAAAGTAGCACAAACGAATTAACGGTAGTAGCGCGCATTGTCGGCACCTCACGGAACAGCAACTCTACTACTACAGCCAAAGCTGGTGACACAATGCCAGCATCCGTCTTCACAAGGTGGTACAACACCGAGCAATAATAACCCAGCTTGGCACGTGCGTTCTCACTCAGGGCCGCGACCAACAATGTCTCCACAAGTATATACTCACTCTTCACACGAGTAGCTTCTGCAGCCAAAGATGAAGCAAACCGGGTATTATACATACTGCAGAGACCTAGCAGCAGTTTGGCCGCAATTGCAGGCTTTGAATAAAAGGTCTCCAGTGCATCTACGAAATGATTGCGAGTAATGAGATACGAGGCCAATGGTAACGTTGCAACAGCGGCACCAATAGCACCCGATTCATCCGACAGAATACGGAACACCATCGTGTACGGCGGGATCTTGTTCGGGTCAAGCTGTAAGCAAACGACAATGTTAGTACAAATACATAGACACCTCACACAGCTCACACTAGTTCGTACCTTAGTCAGGTCGATCGAAAGGGACACAGCAAACGCATGTGTCTCTGACTTTTCAAAGTCCGGAGCAAAGACGTCCTGTGGGTGACTGACACCCCGGAGTTCCCACGCAGCAGTCTTATCATCTCCATTTCCACTCCAAATAGCGCTTAGTGCATCCAATACAAGTGACAGTGGATCACTAGAAGCACATAACGTCGACAGTTCCTCATTAGTTTCAGGTCTCCACAGCAAAGCCAATTGCAAACGTCTTGTACGCCAAGACGATGAGCCAGCACTTGATCCACGTGGATTATTCTCCTCTTCACGATGCAAGACGTACTCTCTGCATCGACTTAACAAGCTGTCAAATAAATTGTCAGCACTTCTCGCCAGTTCTTTGCCACTATGTAGGAGTGTAGTTAGCACCACCAAGGCAAAGAAATCTTTCCAAGCAGCTGCATCTTCTCTTGCTCGTAAAGACGCAAACGTCTCGTCATCTCCGTCCCAGTCATCGGACGTACATAGTCCTTGGATGGAATCCAGCATAACCAGGACATCTTCAGCTTTACATACTCGAGCAGCACAGAGTTCAGCCAAGAGACGGATAATCAGCTGCACACGTATCGCAACCGCAATTACATCTCCATCTCGACGAAAAACATCTGTATCGGCAATGTCCGGATCGTCTCCTTTTTCAAGATTCAAGTGGTTCACATCACGTTGCAAACATTGTGTGGCATTAGCCACAATCTCCCGTCCAAAGGTCGGTTTACGGGCATTGACGAGCCCCACGAGCGTCGCATAGAGCGCCGTCTTGTGCGCCAAGCGAGAGGCCGAGCGTAGGATCAATGTAGCCAAGTGACCAAGTTTTACATCCTGTGCATCCGCCTCTAATTCACGCAGCAACAGGTCGCTTGTACGCGTCAATTGCTCGCGTTCGGCGCCGTCTCCGAGCTCAACGACCGCTTTTTTAGCCAATCGCCAAGCACGAGCGCGATCACTTTCATTCAAACGCTCACGATCATGACGTCGTTCATGACGTCGAGAATTGTTCGGACGGTCGTCTATGCGTGAACGTTTGTAGTTGTTGTCCTGGTCATTGTCATCGAACGAGCGCTTGCGACTTGGGCCGTGCATTTCAAGGACTTGGGGGATATGTGGTGTACAGATATGTAAGTGTACCACCTCATATCCTTTCAATACCGATGATATGTAGTTTGAACAAGAAGTGGATATGTTTTCAATGAAATGAAAAGTAATAAAGTCATACAGTATATTAATTATGATACGAAGCACATACCGGTATACTACCAGTATATTGTTCTACTTACAGAGTAGTACTACTACCTCTTTGGTAGAATAATTGAATTGGATATTATCCGTTTCGACTTTGTCCTAGCTGACATCACCACGTCTAAGCAAATATCACTACATCCACGCCACTCATGACTAAGTGTCGTGTCTTGTGTCTTCATGGTTATCGTCAAGATGCTATAAAGTTTCGTGGTCGTATTGCTGCATTGCGTAGAACGTTCAAGTCGAGCGTCGAGTTTGGTTAGGAAACAATTATGTCAAAAATTAATTTTAATTTTCAAATCACTACGTAAAAAATATTTTTAACTTATTTATTACTACATTGTAGTATGTTTAGATGCCCCATTCACTGTACCTGATGCATCAACATTGGAAGAAAAACACATCAACAAGTACGAAATTAATTTTCTATAATTTTTTTCACTTGTAATGACAATTAATTAATTTTTATTGTCGTGTTTAGTAAAAATACTAATGAACAGGAAAATCAATTGAAATGGTTTGATTTTATTCACGATACACAGTCGGAGCATTATTTACTAGAACGAGTAGAAGAATCGCTCGAATATGTGGCAAATTTTATCAAGAAAGAGGGACCTTTTGATGGTATTTTGGGGTTTAGTCAAGGTGGTACAATGGCTTCATTAATCCTGCACAAACAAGGTACAGAATGTTTTTTTCTTGATTGGAATGATGTATGTATGGATTGAGGTTTTTGAACTGATAAAGTGGTGGTGATTGTATTGCAAATGCACGTTGGTAGTGCGTGATTCGGAATTCCCTTTTGCGTTTCGTTTTGCCTTTTTCGTATCGGCTGGAGCTTGTTACGACCAAAAGTATATGATCAACGTAAAGGTGGATCTACCGTCGTTACATGTTATTGGTGAGACTGATGCTGTCGTGGAAAAGAAAAGCAGTCTTGCACTTAAGGATCGTTTCATTGATGCCAAAGTGCTGATGCATCCTGGAGGTCACTATATTCCCACGAACAAAGTGGTCAAAGACGCCTTTCGAGCTTTTTTTGAAGAGCTTCAACAAGCCGATCCGAACAAGAAGGAGGTGGGTACGGCTTTGTGCAATAATTGCTAGCTTTACGACGAGATATGGAGTCTACGAATTGTTGTGAAAGGGCTTAAGCACAGTGACTTCCATGTGTCTCCATGTCATACATACACAACCTGCTGAAGGTTTGGCCCTGAATTCGAGACATTAGTTCAACCGGAACTCTCAACGTCTCAGACCAGCACGTGGAGAATTGGTCAAGTTGCCGAGTAGATGCACGAGACGAAGCCATCTCGAGGTGCACTACGTAAGTCACGCATAATCTTGGCACGGCACGTTTGCTGTAGCCAAAGACGTTTTCAAAAATGAGCTGTATTCGTTGATATACCCATATGATGTACGCACCATTCCACTCACCCGTCAATTCCTACGTCAGTGCTGTCCGCTACTATCGACGGCCTTGATCCCTTCCATCACCTTCTCATTGTACACGTAGCAAGCAACTGCATTTGCCATTTGTCCATTGTACTGTTTATTTATTTGCTCACATGTACCGCGATAACGATTCAGAATGTCTGGAACTCTGAATACCAATTTGTTGGTGCTGTGCGTGAAGAGCAACAAGCACTCACCATACATGCACCACCGCATAAAGGATTTGTGCGCAAAAAGTATTGTCGAGAGCACATCGCTTTTCAGCGGATCGAGTGGTACGCTTCCATGACGTTCTTGCAACGCACATGTAGATCAACACAACTTCTTCCGTCACGCCTTGTGTATATTGGCTTTAACGCCCATCTGTACCTTACAGGTTCAGCTTCATGCAGCACTTCTTGCAGTACCAGTCATCGGCAGGAACAATGTCAAGCTTCGCGCATTTCTAAAAGAGAGAAACCAAGAGCAGATTAGATCACAGCTATAAGGCGCAAGAGAGAAAGTCGAACATACCAGATGGAAAACACGATCGCAGCCCTTGGAGCCGTCCTCGGATCCACAAATGACATGCGAGTCAAGCCGGATCTTATTCTTCTTACAAACCCCGCATTCTTGCAGATTGCACTCATTGCAGAACCACTCCGTCTCAGGAACTTCAGGCAGACCGATACACTTGACATGGAAAGCACGAGGACACCCATCACAACAGAGCAGTTCGCCTCCCAGGCTGCACACACTGCAGTCAACATCCCATTGGTCTTCCGGAGTCTTAGGCCCAATGTAGTTCTCGACGTGGGCATGCCGTATTGGAAATGTCTTTCCCGACGCAGGACGAGCAGAAGTCAATACTGCAGAATCGGATTCAGCATCGCTTCCGTCGAACTCCAACTCGTCCTTCACCAACTTTGCTTGCTTTCGGGGTCGACGCCGTAATAATGGTGAGTGCGACCGTCTAGGCCGCTTCACCGAAGCCTTTCCATTCTTCTCCGTAGGGACCACAGGCTTGACTGATGTGTCGCATTCGTGACAGAATATCTTCCCTCGAGGGATACGGCGAAGCCCAATGCATGAGTAGTGGAACACATGAGGACAACCGTCACAGCACACCACTTCACCACCTTCGCTGCAAATGTAACAGTCCTCTTCCCATTCATCTACAGACTCGCGCATGTTACCATCGTCGACCTCCTCAATCTGCTTCTTTTTCTTGGCTGCGCGCTCCTTGCGAGACTGTTTTTCCTTTTCACTCTTCGCGCGTGTTTTCATCGCATCTTCATCGGACGCATTCAAGAAGCCAAGCACCTTAAGGCGATGTATCAATGAGGCTAAAGCAGTGGCCATGACGGCAACTGTCTTACCACGCTTAACACTCTGAATCCAGCGTTCGCGACAATATTTTGACGGCCAAAGCATTTTGCCGTCATCCACTGAAAGATCAATAGCCTCTTCCTCTTCGTCGTCATCCTCATCATCACTCCTCTCCTCGTTTTTGTCGTACTCCTCATTGGGGGTACTGGCATTTTTGCTTGCGTCTGCTGCAGCGGGACTCAGCGCTGCCGTGCCGGATCGTTGATTATTTGGCTTTTTCTGAGCAGACATCAACTCGTTTTCTAGGGCGAACAAAGCAGTAGCGAAGTCTTCAACCTTATCGATGGTTTGCACGGACGATCGCCACATTGCGCCACCATTGTCAATACGGTCTGGCCAGGTTGAGCCTAAAGTACGAAGGCATTTACAGATCCACTCTTGACCCTTTAGCAGGACTTCCTGAAATGAATTAACACTTGGATCTGCATACACAAATGCCTTGCGCTTTGAGTGCTTGTCATTTTTCCATTGAAGGAATTCTGTTGCTTCATCGATCGGCGCGCCTGATGTGAGCTGAGAGCGCTTCTTAGCACTCTCCTCGTTCAGTAGATCAGAGATCAACAAGCCAGGCTTTGAAACAGGCATTTCACTCGCAAGTTCTTTCATGTGATCAGCCAAGGTTGAGTGAAGGCAAGCCTCACGAGGCACACGTGCGTCTAGAACTTTCATTAGCATGTTCACCTCACTTTGCGAAGAGTAGCAATACCATGTTGCATTGCTATCGTCATCTTCGGGGATCAAACCATCCCTTGGAGACCCGCTCCTAGCCAGCGACTCATATTTACGCTTTATCTTATTTGACGGACCTGGCCTTTCAACGTATAGCCGCTGTAGGTCGCCTCGAAAAATCCAATACCTCAGATGGTCTCTGTCTCGTCCAAGTGGCTCCGACCGAACAAACGATTGGCGGAGCAATGCGCTGAACTTGCGTTTTTTCACTAAGGCTTCCTCCTCACGAACGGCTTCGGCATCCCAAATTTCCAGCACGTGTGTAGCCGATACCATTATACGGTCCGGAAGGCCACACTCCTTGGCTTTTTCAATAGCGTTTCGAAGCAGAGCCGAGTCTTTTGATGCCAAACCATCAGTGATAGCTTTTTTCGCTATCGTTCGCTTACGCTCTGTCTGTTCCTGCATTTTCTGCTTGCGTAGCTTTACTTCCGTTCTCTGTCGTAGTCGATCGCGCTGTTTGTCAAGTTTCTTTTTTCGGGAAACGTATTCATGCCGAGATATGAATTCCTGTAGCTGGAGTCTCTCCAGCTCTTCCTCATTTTTTGACAAGGCCTCTTCATTGTAAGCAAGATCGTCCAAGTCGGAGTCACTACCTGAACCAGTTTCGCCATCATTATCGCTTTTGGTCTCTTCAAAACCGTCAGCAGAGGCTGCATCTCCATTGGCTCGACCCTTTTTATCATTTCCCAACCAAATTCTCATCGACGTTTTGTTCGACTCCGCAAAGTTAGCAAGCTCTATACGCTGCTTCTCTCGAAGCTTCTTGTCATCCTCAAGCGTGAGCTTTCGATCGAGCATTACAGTGCGGTTATATTCCTTGGATGCTTTAAGGATCTCATTCAAGTGCTTTCCAAGCACGCGGCGAATTTTCTCCGTGTCAACTAGGCGACCAACAAGAAATTGCAGCAGTGCCAGCTTGTGCTGCACTTGCAACGCCGGGTAGTCTGTATCTTGTAGCGCTTTGAATGCGGCTACAAATGTCGGCGTGGAGTGTTGTGTGTAGCGAGGCACAGCCGAAATTAAGCCGCACAAAATGGACGGCCAAGTGAGCGGAGTGAGCATCGAGCGTGTTGGCACACCTACGGTTAAAGGTGCGTGCTGGATTTCGTATCGATATTGTTCGCTGTCATCCATCGAGCCTTCGTCATCAGACAGGTAGTCCTCGTCCTCTCTGAAATCAAAAATACAAGCAAAATTTAAGAACGTGATATTCACACATGCTCTACCAGCCTTTGCGTCGCACCTGTCCTCCAAAATCTTCTCCAGCAAGCACATGTGGATCTCTGTCAGCATAGGCGAGTGCTTTGGATAGTTCAGCGCACGACTGAACTGATCTACTGTGATATCCGCAAGCTCTAGAATGTCGTGGAATGCATAGATACAATCCCACACTGCAAGCATCTTGCCAACGTACTTTGCCGGAATTTCTGCAAAATTGCATGGCGCTGGCCTGTAGTAATTAACAAAGTCAGCTTATTGAGTAATCGATACATTAATGCCACAGGTGGTACGCACGTCGGTTTGTCGGGACGCGACGTATCTTCAATAACCTCGGGTGGGATATCATCCATTCCGCGTTTCTTCTTTTTGAGAGCTTCCTCTTTTCTTCTAAGGATTGCGTCCTCCTTTTCCAGCTTTTCTAGCTTTTCTTTAGATGACCGCACAGTCTGAGCGAGCTCTTCCGCCATTTTGCCTAGTTTCTCCTCTTCCTTATCTTTGTACTTGATTTTCTTGCGACTAAGAATTCGATCCTGCATTTCTAAAACACGTTTGGCTTTATGCTCGATTGCCTCAACTGACTTTTTCGCCAGCATTTCCTCTTTCATTTGTTCAGCTTTACGTCGGCGAGCATCTCGTTCCAATTTCTCCGTTTCACGCATGACTCGTGCTTTTTCCTTCGACTCTTGTTTAAGTCGACGTCGGTCCAAACATTCTCTACCATGATAAAATAAAACATTTGTCATTCATTAACCAACTACAACAAATTAACACAACCCCCAGTCTTATAGCCACGTACGCGCACATCTTGCAATACCACTCTCTGTCCGGAATCATATCGTCACTCATACCTAAACTACACATAAAAACACACACACAAAAACATTTTTTGTGTCTCATTAGCCCAATTTGCCAACAAAAAATTGACCCCTTTTGAGCAATTTAACTACAATCAAACAACCCACCCACCAGCTCATATGAAAAGCTCGAGGACAACGATCACAGCATAGTAACTCTCCTCCATCTTTACAAATATTACAATACCATCGATTATGGTCCGACCAGCCATCGTCCATTGTCTCTCCACTCTCGTTACCGTCTACATCACCTGAATGCACGGGTGTCTCAATAGCCACGTCTCCTGTAGTTGCAACACTCTCAATGTCCTCATCACTATTGTTACAAAGCTCGACGACACTCAACATGTGAGCAGGTCTTGCGTTCGGATTATTGAGCCCCTCCGGGTCGTGCACAGTATTTGGGTCATTCTGCAGCTGAAAATGGGTACTTTGACGTAAAACGACCGTATTTTCGAGAGTTTTCCGGGGGTTTTTTTGTTCGAGATTTGGGTCGCCCGGAATCTCGACTGGCAAAGACAGATGACTGAATTATTCGGGCCTTGCCAGTGTATCTAGGTCGAAGTGAAGTAGGAGGTGGTGATGGTGGTGGTGGCGGTGGAGGAGGTGGAGGCATTATCACAAAGCCTGTCGAGTCCAAGTCACTGTCTTCATCACTCATTTGTCTACGAAATGGGTCAACTTCATATTTCAGGTTAGAGAAAATGGGTTCTTTTTGCACCTGTTTAACAAAATTAGGAAGTTCGTTTTGAAGGTCTGTACCGTCTGAGACTTGAAATGCAGATAGAAGACGAGAAAGGTACGAAATATAACAGACGTAATCAAAGACGAGTGGCTATAGTAGAAGCAAGTATTGAAGCTCCAAGATGAAGGCGTTAGGTGGTGGGTCGCTTGATCGATTGGAATTGAGCCTCCGTTGGAAAAACTGAGGAATAATAAAAACTACGAAGAGACTGTTTTATGCGCTATGGACAAAGTATAAAGGTTTCGAGATGTTGATAATTGTAAGAAAAGTAGAAAAAAAACTTACAAAGTATGAGATGTATGTCTTTTCACAGACGAATGTTGTGGTTTAAGGCTGCAAGGTGGGGCTCGCCACGTCCACATCCCCAGCCGCTAGCCAGCCAATCTTTTCTCAGTAGTTACGTCAGTTCTTTCTTGCTTTCGGGTTTGATTGCTATTATAGACTTCATGTTGAATGCTATCATCCAACGAGGTCGTATATAAAGTTATATACTGAAAGCGATATGATGGAAAACTTCAACTAGCATTTGTTGCAACGATAGCATACACATGCAAAGTCATACTTGCTATGGAATCTTTGCATTTGTACGCACGCCCGCACTTGCCATTGTCTACAGTAGAAATAAATTGATGAATATGAATGAGATGCAGGGGTTCATGCACATTCGAGATGATGTCCTTTTCAATGCAAATATATCGACAATTTGTAGCATCATGTAAGTGCAGACCATCAAGTTTCATGCAACCAAATTGTCTTTTTGTAGTTGTGACAGTGGAGGCCACGCATTTTGTCACCGTGGATTGGTGATGTACCGGTTCCTTGTAATACTGATTGTGATGCATAATCGTGCAACGCGTAAAATGTATCAAGCAAGGCTCGTTGCCTTGCGTTACCTCTTGGTGGTCACGGGCAGTCATTCTGAAGATATAGATTGACTCTGAACTCAAGGTGATCACGCAAAGAGCTTTTTTTGGACAATACCATCCAAAACACTAATTTTCTTTACTTGTGGAGGCATCTGCTATACTATTAACTGCATTGCTTGCCTAATCCAGATATCCTTTTCCTACTAAAGCTCTTTTCTTCATCTTCTCATGTCTTACTCCACTCTTCCGTTTTTACTAAAGCGTTTTGAAAGCATTGTATGTTTATATAGACACATCATGGATTCGAGACGACAAAAGCAGGAAAAACGGGCATGTGACGGTGGCAAGGGACATATCGATAACACACAAATTCTTAAGCGGATACTTTCCAGTAGTTTTCATACGAAGATGCCAAAATTTATATGGCTACACTTTAGTACATACAAATTTACCGTTTTGCAAAAACGGTCTTTAAACAATACCACAAAACGAATCAAAATGTCAAGAATAAGGGGAGAGCAAGTGGCTGCTTGTCTTGTTCTCCTGAAGACAAGCAGCCACTTGCCGCTCTACCATTCTGCCTTACGAAAAGTGTAAGCTATAATGACAGCGTCAAATAGTTTCTGCAGCGTAAATATGCGGAGTGCATGGTCATCTGTACGAGCTCGCACCAAACACGGACTTGGCCTCGATCAAGAAACCGAGAATTTCGGGCGGCTTGGGCAAAATGAACACCCGCTAATTGCCGACATTAGGAAGCGGTAGTCACCAAGGAAGAGGACGACATGGACGATGTTGCTTCATGACGCTGTCGGACGCAGTGTCGGCTAGACAAAAAGGCTTTTTCAGTACATTACGTCGCACTTGTAGCGACGTGTACCTTGCCACCCAACGAGAAGAAAACTTCTTTTTGCACTTCTACGATGACGACATGAAGCGGGAATAAAAAACCACGTACAAAAGTCGCTTCACATCGTGAGACGATCTTTGCTTTTCCCTTATAGAAGTCACTTCTCTTTCTCATCTTTTTCTACCTCATTCAGTACAAGAACAAGTGGCCAGGACAAAACTTCTTCTTTTTAGCTTATAACGCACACCTTGGGACTTGTGTTGCTACATCCTTCGTCGTCTCACCTGCTTCTTGCGTCAGGGTCTGTCCCATTGTGTCTGCTGTTTTCTCCACTTCCCTTCCTATTGCGGGAATCCGTGCTTCCAGTTCTGGTAGCGGTACAGGCACACGGGCACGGCGATGCCACCCAGCGTCACAAAGAGCGTCAGGCCGATCACGACGCTCTTATTGAAGTCACCTTCAAACACATAGTGCTGATGGTGCTCACCTTCGGCTGACATGCGTTTGACCGAGGCCGAGATGCTGCGGCGGCGGCCGGCCACGCTCATTTTATTGGCGGTCTGCTTCACGATTTGGCTCAACATTTTCTTCTTTTCTGGAGCTGTTTTAATTGTGCGGCGAAGCACCACCGCAGAATATTTTAGAAATTTAGAGATCTCTGTATAAGGAAAGCTGAAAGTGTCGCAAAAATTCAGGAATGTATGTCGCGTGACACAATAACATAAGAGTAGGACGTGGGACTTTAGTATACACGACTGTATACAGCTTCAAGCTGCTTACAATCATATAGAAAAAATTACTTACTACAATATCAACGACATATAAATACTATGAAGATGTATGAATACCCAGCTATCCGCTTATATTAACAACACTTAGATACCATCGCCAATGGCCTGCAGCAATGCAGCATTGGCCAAGATCTCCAGTGATGGATCGTCCTTCTTTTGCTTTTTCACTTGAGAATTAGACTGCTTCGGTTCATGTTCACATATATCTTGCATGAAACGCTTGCCATTCATGACTGAAGCTTGATCGCACGTTAACGTGATACTTCTTGGCTTCATTGTGGTAGCTGTGCTGAGAGAGTGAGCTAAATTAGTTTGGGTCCAATTTGACATTGCAGGAACGCCCCACATGGAATGTAGGCGGTTGTGGGTTGTATCTGTTGGTGTCCAGCACATTGTGTTACACGGACTACCAAGTTGAGCAGCTTGAATTGCAAAGGGCGACTGCAGAAAGTTGTTTGGGCATAGACATGTAAAGTCAACTTGATCCGTGAGAAGCGTATTCACGGGGTACGTCTCGTTGCCCCCAATGGACACAGGAGACGTTACCTCTTGGAAGTCACCATGGGAGGTGCTCTCCGATCCCGAGCTGTTGCGACGCTTACACTGCAAGGCAGTCAGCGGTGTAGCACCACGTTTAAGTCGTCGCTTGCTGGAATTCCAGTGGTTCTTGATCGAGTTATCCGTTCGTCCTGGTAATATCTTGGCGATCTCTGCCCATTTATTGCCAAACTTGTCGTGCAAGTCTTTGAGAATACGTTCCTCTTCAGGTGTCCACGGCTCCTTCCGAATCGCCGGATCAAGTTGGTTGTGCCACCTAAAAAAAAGTGCCAACAACTAAGTTACCCTCAACCTACAACTATGACAATCGAACCGGTATGGTAGCAATACCTTTCACGACATTGCTTGCCATTGCGTCCAGGCAATTTCGTGCCAATGATTGTCCAGTGGCGAGTGCCGTACTTTTGCACAAGCTTTAGCATCATGAGATCCTCCTTCTCTGTCCATTTACTTACAGGCTTGCGCTCTTTCCGAAGCTTTTGTGTTACCAGTTCCGATTGATGATTAGTGCAGGGTTGGCTTTGCATTGTTAATGAGTGAAATGCTGGAGTGCTGCGCTCAAGTCGACGGTTTTCGATGTGACTTTTAGCGCCCTTCGCTTTGTCGCCAACTGCCAAATCTTTGACTGGTGCTCAATATGAGCCCAAGCGTTATCCTTGACAGAAAAGATCGAAGACAAAGTCCAACCGTCAATCTCTAACCGCCAAGCATACGAACGTCACGACAAAAAGTGACAAGTTGAGTAATTGAAGCGTGGAAAGTAGATGAATAATGACAAGAATAGCCAAACCAACCAAGTCAGCACAATGTTTTTTGGATCTTGAATGTTCCACTTGATCTCACATCTCCAGAGCTATGCACTTCCATTTGTTGTGGCCGATCATCTTGCAGACCGAACATCGCTTCATGGCTTTCACTATTCTTTGGATGGCGTCATTGCGTAAAGGCTCTTCATCCAAAAGGAATCTGCACCGGATCTACAGTGGCGCGTTCGCCTGCGTGTAACGCGCAACATTATATACCGAATGACAAAGGTGAGCGATGTACCGCTCTTGTTGAAGAGCAGAAGTGAAATGCTTGCACGGCAGTTTGTGTTGATCGAGGTTTGGACACGAGCACATCTTGGCACCAGCGCTTTTTGACAAAGGGGCTTTGGGTATCCCACACCAGTGTCTCCATCGCTAGGAGATACACGGCACGCGGAAGTATCCAACTGCTTCTCCTCAAGGATATTTTCTGTGTACGAAATGAGAATGCGTACATGCGTACCTGCTTGCACCCAGCCCTTGTCTCTGATCTTACGCTCGTTGAGATCGCTCATTCTGCGCTCCATATACCCCCAAAGAAGTCGAATGGTGGCAACATCCGGGTCACTTTCATTGCCGGGTTCTTTGACTCGGTCAAATTCGTTGTCTGCCAAATGGTATAGCGCAGCCGCTTAGGAAGCAATACTTCGCCCAGACTATTTTTGATCCAGAATTGAAGAAAATGGGCTGCTCGTGAGTCTGCGTAGTGAATTGATGATTGCAATAACTCCTCCCGCGTATCAGCGGCCTGAGCGCGCCAAACGAAATCACATCCGAGCGTCCTCTTGAAGATCGCTTCCATGGTACTGACAAGATGGGCGGCACATTAGATCAAGATGAGAGACAAGGCTGAAAACGACTCAGCAGCCCTTACTAAAGCAGGCGATCGATAGTAGAACATTGGTACCTCCAGGGCCGACCCTCCATCGAACAGCCTTGAAAAAGCGTGAGTAGGTGTTGATGCTCTTTGTGTCTCAAAGGCAATTGCTAACGTGCAAATATCACCATCCCCGTCCTAAGTCACCAGCTCCAGCAACGTGCCTTAGTAGTTGCTCGTGTGGTCCATGTCCAGTCCATCGAAGCCCAGAAGATACAGGCTATGGCGTGGTAGCAGCGGCGCTTAAGGCAGAACACCCATGCGACCACTGTCCAACCTCAATATTCAACTGGACCGATGGATTGATCTGCTAGAATTACAGTAGCAACAGATTTGAGCTCTTGTACTTGCAACGCGCACACCGCAAAGTTACACTGGGTGTCACTGTTGCAATGAAGGCAAAATAATTGCGTCCACTTGTGCTCGGATCCATCCAGACACTTGCTTTGCGCCAGACAAAATCCTGGATGTATTCTCTGGTCTGCGTGCGTTTTTCGCAGTGCTGTCGAGCCTAAAGCGTCATCTCAGTGCCGGACTTGAGTTTCACGCTTGAACGCTGCTGTTGTATAACACTTTCGACTGTCCGCACCACTTTCCAATGCTTTTTCTTTAGGTCTTGCATATCATCATCTTCTCCATTATTAAAGAGATAAGTATCGTCTATAGTATTTGCTCGCTTTTCGATCAGGAGTTGCCATATCCGTGACCTCCATAGCTATAGTAGTTGAAGTGATACTGTCAGACATAAAATATGGGAGGTTCAAACGGATAATAGTGTATCTGAATTCGGTTACAATTGGACGAAAGTTATAAACCTAATCGTGCTACTATCCTTCCATTAATTCTTATCACAAAATGTGGCCGTTTTTTTTCCTTGCAATTTGACGACAGCAAGTCTAGTCGATACAAACTCACACCAAAGCGACCCGAACGTATTTGTCAATTTTTAACATAATTTACAGACTAAAGAATGGCAAAACACCCACTATCGACAGACATTTACCCCTCGTACGAAAAAAGATGCAACCAGTCAATATGCTCTCCCTCATGGTAGTCATGTCTCGGTCTCGTCTTCTCTATCGGAAGCACTTTGGCCACGGAGACTGTCAGGTGGTACCAGTTCGCGCGGTACACCCTGGCGTTGTGATCGATACAAAAAAAGACGCTCCGAATCAGATGTTGACTCCGATTCGCGCAGAGCCACAAAGAGGTTGAAGTTGGAGTCCGTCGTGACGTCCAAAGTGATACAGACAGTACCATTGTCTCATGGGGCTGTATTTTATCCGACATTGGATCAATTTGCTGATCCGATCAAGTACATTGCAAAGTACGTAATATTTCTTGAGACATTTTTTATTTCAATTTGTTGAGTCTGTTGACAAAAAAACGTAATCACTAATTTGTGTTGATTAGTATTGAACAGGAGGCAACACGTACGGGTATTTGCAAAATTGTTCCTCCCCAAGGGTGGAAACCTCCTTTTGCAATTGATCTGGAGGATGACCGTGTGCAATTTAGCACGAGAAAGCAGAACATTCACCAATTGCAGGTTTGCAGACTATAAGTTCTGAAAATAGATGATGCTGAAGTTGTGCACTAACCCGAGAGAATGGTCGTTGGTCAATGACAGGAAGGACGTGCGTATGGTTATGGCAGAAAGCATACGTTCAAGTCGTTCCGTGCAAATGCGGACGCTTCTCGTGCTTATTGGTTTAGTTCGAGAGGAATGGATCCGGATACAGTAACTTCGGATGAGATTGAGCTGGAATACTGGCGAATTGTCCAGACGGGGGAACCCGAGGTGGAGGTAATGGCAGTTGCAGATTGTTGGTGATGATACTACTGTAGTGGTGCTAATTTGTGCGATAATGGCTTGACATTCAGGTGGAATATGCCAATGATCTTGACACGGCGAAGGTCGGCAGTGGATTTTTGCGCTCGGTGAAGCGGTTTGCTTTGCAGACTACGAACGGTACAACAAGAATGGGATTACCTTCGTGGATTGTATTTCTTGCAGCACCTGACGATGGATGTTTTTGATGCACATAGGAAGAGAAACGATTGACTTTACAAACCCAGAGTACTATCGAAATACGGGGTGGAATTTGAATAACCTTCCGGATGCCTACGGCTCGCTGCTTCGGCATTTGGGTGCTGCAATCAACGGCATTAATGTATCGTGGTTGTACTGCGGTATGTTGTTTGCATCGTTCTGCTGGCATGCTGAAGACAATTACATGTCTAGCATTAATTACCACCACGTTGGCGCCAAGAAACGGTGGTATGGGATTCCATCTTCAGATGCCGAAAAGTTTGAGGCGGTGATGAGGACGCAAGTGCCCGAGCGTTTCCGAGAGAATCCAGACTTACTCCTTCATCTGACTACCATGGTGCCTCCGTCTGTCTTGCAAGATCGAGGCGTAAAAGTATTCACACTTGTGCAAGAACCCGGAGACATCATTTTGACTTTTCCGAAGGCATACCATAGTGGTTTTAGCGAAGGCTTCAATTGCACCGAAGCTGTAAACTTTGTTCTCCCAAACTGGATCGACTTCGGACGAGAGTGTGTCGAGATGTACCGCAATTACGGACGACTATCGATCTTTTCACACGATCGATTCGTGTTTCACTTCGGATCAACGCAAAATCTAAATGAGTACTCCATTGCAGATTGTGAGATTCTGTTGAAAGAGTTGAGACGGTTTTTCCACGAGGAGCGAGACTACAAGAAAGCTTTTCTTGCCGAAGGGTTGCAGAATGTAGAGGAGTTAAGTGGCGACGTTATGCTGGACGAGCGGTCAATGGAGGTGGATGACGTACGACAGTGCTACTTATGCAAGCACAACGTTTTCTTTTCAGGCGTCATTTGCACGTGTAATCCGAATCGATTATCATGCCTGCGGCACACTAAGGAAATGTGTGGCTGCTCGATTCGGAATCATACCTTGCTGCAGTGGGTTAGTACTGCTGAACTACGGTATGCAATTCGACGCGTGCAAACGAAGATGCAGACTCTGAAAGCTCTAAAAGCGAGCCAAACGTGATTCGACCATAATTTGATTGGTAGTCGTGATGCTAACGACGCTGCACCGGCCGGGTCAAAGAACTTGGACCAAAAGTGACAATTGCTTTACCATGAAACGGAACAGAACATCCGTTTTGAGCGTATAATTCTAGCAGTAGTTTGTGCTTTCTTCAGCATGCTTCGTGATTGAAAACAGAGCCCGAGATATCATACACCTTCACGAAATACACATCGTCATTCTTCGTTTGTCGATTCGAAAAAAGATCTGTTACAACCAAGCACATCGTTGTGCTGTAGCTTCATCACTTCAGACACTTGTACGAGCTTCATGACGTTCGAGTTGTTTGGGAATATAACGAGCAAATTTGGTTCAATTTCTGCGATGTCAGCTATCCACATTACCGTGACTAACACAGAATATTGCCTGGTCATCGAATGATGAGTTTTTTTCCGTTTCTTATCTAGGTGTCTGGTGGATGCTTCTTCGGTGGCGTCATTTCGTTCTTCCACAGCTCTTTATCCACTCAAAGGACCAAAGAAGGCACCCTCGTAGCGAACAAGACAACACATCGGTAGCAACTGGCGCACTGGCGTTATAGTAACTTCATGAGGTTGAAGCGTGAAACCGAACTGTATATTGACATCCTTGCACATGACACGTTCACCTACCAGCAAGCGCCCATAAGTCAGCATACTGTACAAGACGGTGATCGGATCATCCACGTCTTGCCAGGAAATTACTGAAACCCTTGATATCGTAGAACGTTCGGTTGGCGTACATTGTCGAACTGCCAGTGGAGCTTTCCGCTTCAGCTGAACATTCCAGTATCGTATATATCCATTCAAGATCATCATCGGGCATCTGAGTCATAGCCCACCAAAGCGTGAGTCCATAATTCGGTGATTCTAGAAGTGGGCGCAACGCATGCCATGATTTTCGCACACTTGTCGCGCGTACCGGAAACGTCACTGCAAGTGTGTCTCCATACGGTTTCAGCACACGCAGCATAGCCTCAATCATGTCCGAAGTATATTCTCGATGAATCGTTTCTTCATTGACATTTGTTGTCGTCCAGCCTACTGAAAGCACAAGTTTGTGTCGATGCTGTCCATTTTCATAGTCTCCGAGCTCATTGACCTGTTCTAAGAACATTATGGCGTCAAAAGCTACATAATTGGAACTTGCAGGTCCTGGTAATATGTCTGCATTAATAAAAACACCCTTAGTAAATGGATACTTTGCCATGAACGTCGTCAACAATTCCAACGACGCCTCAAACGCCCGACTGCTTTTAAAGTCGAGTTTCACGATAAGAGGCGTCTCATCACTTGTCGATGAGTGTTGAAACATTGCTGCAAGTTTCAACATTGCATGTAAGAATTGGGACAAGGTCAAGTCACTGTCAGTAGCGGGTGGATGTCCCATCATAGAAACCTGTTTGTCTTCATTCCAAATGATATCGGCCTCAATGGCATTGACATGATTCAGTGTCATCAATTGCTGCTGCTTTAGGGCCTTTTGAACTTGATAATAGACTAATGATAACAAGGCATTTGAATTGACGGCATGAGCCCAACGGTAGTTTTTACAGGGGTCATTAAGAGTATGGAGCTGCAGGAAGATTGTCAAGTGGACATCCTACGTCCAATTACACATGGCTACATTTAGTAGGTTTGATGAATCAAAAGGTGGATACGTTGTGATTTCTATGGGTGACCCCACCCCTGCTGTCACTGAACAGCACGTTGTTTGTATCGAGTTCCTGTGCGAAGAGAGCCAATCACGCTGCTCGGATTTCGATTAGTTGAAGTTATGAAACGGTTTCAAGGACGGATGTCATTGTCATACAATGGTTGGCAGTCGCGTCTTGTTGCTGGGTTTAATGGTCTGCTTATCATCTTGTCCTTTGTCATGGTGCTCTATGTGCTGCTGGTGTTCTCCATCGCCGAGCTTTCAACAATGTTACCACCGGGTGGTGGTCCATACGAATTTACATTACATGCCATCGGTCATTGCACCACCTTTTTGCTGAACTGGACGAGAGTATTATCATTTGCGCAGTGGTCGTCACGGATATGAGCTTAAAGCTCAGCTCATTCATGAATGAGCTGCTGGGCTTGAGCTCCGACTACGGTTTGATAAGGTGGGCTGTCTTCTACGTGGTCTTTGTATCACTTGACATCATCAGCATTGAGATGGCCTTCCGTGTACAAGCCTTTACCACTGTCATGTCAGTCTTCATCTGCTGGTGTTTCACGTCGGTGCAGCCACCAAGGTGTCATATACCGAGTGGGTATCGGATGTCAACTGGGAATATTCAAGTGGTTGGGACGGTGCTGTGAAGGGATTTTCATTCGCATTTTGGTTTTTACTTGGGCATGAAAGAGTTACCACTTGCAATTAAAGTGACCGTCAACCCAGAATGTAATGTGTCAAGTGGTCTTGTGACATCAATCTCCACACTGGTCGTTCTGGCATTTTGTACTGTCATCTGCAATTCCACGATCTACCCGAGAGGTGAAGAAATTTACAACAGTTCGTCGCCGCTATTGACTGGCTACAAGAGCGTCTTCGGTGACAACCGTACGACGTCAGCCTTTTTGCGTGGATGCTCGCGCTGGGTCCAATTGCGAGCTTCAGCTCGTTTGTGTTTTGCATGGGCCAGCTCCTGTACGCCATAGCTCGTGATGGATACTTGCCACAAATTCTGACTAGGCTACATCCGACACGCGGTAATGTGTATCCGCCCTTGATCGCTGGTAGTTCTATCGAATTCATCGTTGTGATGGTGCTTTACTAGACATTATGGTTGAATCGTGGTAATACAGAGCGACGAATCATCTTTTTTCTTAGAGTAAACTTATTTGATTATGCCAATACTAGTATGCACTTGGAACGGTACATCATATGTAATTCATATGAACTTCTTCAAAATAAGTTATGTAGTGATGATGTGGTGGATTGGACGGTAGTCCTGGCTGCATTACCATTAAGAAACGGGAACACCTTGATAAAACTATGAGCTTCATCTCTAAAGTCGCAGGACTCTATCAGAAGACCATCAGCAAGTCGCTGAGCATGTACGGCCTCAAGTACGATGACGCTCTCGTAGACACGGCCGCCGTGCAGACGGCATTGCACTGGGTCAATGGCGAGGACTACCAGGCCCGCACCAAGCGCATCGCTCGGGCCGCCGACTGTTCGCTTAAGCGCATCTACTTGCCGGACGAGATCCAGTCCATTCAGCGCCCGCTTGATTTCTACATGTCTGACAAGGTCGTGGAGGCTGAGAAACTTGCAGAAGAGCGCGCTGATCTTACGCGGTGGTAGATAACAGCAGTCAGCTGATTGAGCTTCAGCAACTCATTGGAAATCTTGCTGGTCTCTCACTGTTTCAGATGAAAGAATAATGATCAAAATGAAAAGAATCCAAAGCATAAGTAAAGGAAGAAGTCAATGTCAGTGTGTATACGTTTGTGTGGTTTCTTGTAGTAGACAGTGCCAGGTAAAAACTCACGTGGCAAGTGTAGCATTTCTTCATCTGTAGCTGCTAAGATGTCAACGAGCTCTTCTACTTGGTCAGTTGTGGGTGCACCACCTCTGCGGCCAGGGCCCGTAAGACTAAAAACGTAATGAATATACGATCGGACACAAATGGGTATCGTAGCTTAATGACATCATTCATGACGAGAAGAGAAAGTCGCAGTCCGATAGAATGTTTGACGCATCTAGCCAAACCCCGTAATTTAATACTCTTGCGAAATTATATATATCTTCCATGAGCATCTTACAGTCAAATGGCATTTTTTCTGAAGAAAGTGCTTTTTAGGACATGCATGAATCTGATACTTGTGTGTGTGCTGCACACAATTTTGATTGCTGCGTCAGTTAACGTACCATGGACTCGGAGACTTCGAACGCCGAGCGTACGGTTCGATACCTGTACGAGGAAAAACAGAAACAAATTGAACGTGGTGAGACCGATAAAAAAATGTCGTGCCGGTGGTTTCTTGATCGATCGTTTTACTGCGTCAGTACGTTATAAACTTTTGTTAAAGAAAAAAAGAACGTAGTTAGTTGCCTAACTATGTCATTTGCCAATGTATCAGCGCCTGGGAATCAGATAGAGCATTTCTATCGATATGGACAAGTAGATGAGTGCAAATTTACATGGAAGAACATGTACTTATGTTATCGGTCGACTTTGATGGACGAGAAGAAACGTCAGGACTTTCTCAAGGACACGCCCTTAGACTCGTCCAAGTGTCCGCACATCACGGATGTGTGGGAGACGAAGGAAGTACCTGGCTGGTAGATAAAATAGTTAAAGGGTCAACTTGGTATGAACCGATGGATCTGAACAGATGCGATCCTTTAATGTCTACAGCAGAAAGCCGATTCCACTCACTCATTAAGCACTTGGGTTTTGTTGGTGACTTACAGTCATGTTGTTTGTCTCTGCGCTTGATCTGTGTCGCATGTCTTCGTGTTTTTTTGCTTGTTTATTTGACTACCGACCTCACACACGAGACTCGCACACGATTTTCTAATCCGTAAGCCACTCCTCCATGCCATGCAGATCACCAGGCAGTGCTGACGGCAAGTTTTGACCGTCACCGTGTCCTATAGGCATAGGCAACGAGTCCAGCGACGACTCTAACAACACGTCTAACGGGTCTAGGAGGTCGCCATTCGAGCTCGAGAACGGAATCGGCTCATTGCTCGGAGCAGCGCTAGCTGTCCTTGCTGGCTGCGCAATAGCAGGAGAAATAGTCTGGTTTAGCGGAGAGTTGACGTCTCCACCAACGTTGAAGCTTCGCATAGTTAGCAGATCTAGCTCGTTCTCAATGTTCTGCGTGAGCTGGAAGTCAAAAGCGTCAGTAGAGAGCGGCGGTAAGCCCGCAAACGACTTTTTGGTGGAGTTTACATGCAATTTAAGCAGCGTGTCCAGATCCCCTGTCTCCTCGTACTGCTCGAAGGCCTTATGCAGCGCCGAGTCGTCCGAGGCAAGAAGAAGCATCTTGAGCGAATCCTTCTGCTCTTTACTGATCTTGCCGCAGGCTGCCAATTTATTCACAAGCCAGAACTTGGACGACAGACTGCGCCCACGCTTTGCTTTGCGTGAACTTCCCTTCCACGCACCCTCAGGAGCAGTCGAAGGAGGCGCTGTCTGTACCTCTAGGTTCACTACAGGCTTAATCACCGGTTCCGGTGTCAATCTCGCCGCCGATAAGATGTTTCCATTATCATTTAAACCAGATGGAGTTAAATCCGCGCCAAAATTCAAAGGCACGTCAAAGTCCAGTGTATCTATCATGTCCAGTAATTCTGGAGGGGGTCCAGTGGCCTCGTCCAGCTGAAATCCTTCCAAAGACAAGAGATCTCCGTCTCGGATTGATCGATCTAAAGCGGTCTTACGAATCTGCCAGAGTAACGCATTGAACTTGGTTAATATTCTTGATTAGAGGTTACTGTGTACCACATAAAAAAGGATGTGACAATACCACAACTCCTTTCTCGTTCTTGGATTTGGTCGGATGTAATAGTACTTTGCATTTAGTGAGGATACTGGGCGCTGGATCATCGTCTGAGTTCGTAATAACCTGGTAGAAATCACCCAGCACGTTTTCCCACTTGAGCGGACGTTGGAGACACACTAGCGATGTGACGCCTGTCAGTGGATTCAGTAACAGCACTCGGATCACTTCGCCCATGACGTACATCGAGCGGACAAATTATAGTCTGGGAGAAAAAGCCAGCTTCTTTTAGATATATGATTGGCTAAATATACGCTGATCATCGATTAATGATTGGGTACAAAGATTGCACAAGTCTAGAGCTAGCGTACTTGTTTAGGGAGTGCTACTTGGCGTTACTATTGCTACCAATGTCAATTTATAAACTTAGAAATCAATTGTTCGTGGAAATTCTTGCGGCTGAATGGCATGTGGATTCCATTAGTGTTAACGATAGCGGTTGAAGATGGTTGACTTTTGGGACAGCCACTTTTGAATGCATACTATGCATATTGATGCGGCTCACATGAACTTGGTTAGTGCATTGATGCTGATGGATGAGGTGTGATGCTGCATAATGCATAATGTGGCTCAGCTATACAGTCACTAGCTTAGCTGCATCGTCTCCTCTTTCTCTTCTCGTCAACAAAGATGTTTTTGAGGAGAGACACTTCTTAATCGTACATTCATTACGTTTCTAGTCTCACGGGTCCTGGCCGCAGAGGTGGTGCACCCACAACTGACCAAGTAGAAGAGCTCGTTGACATCTTAGCAGCTACAGATGAAGAAATGCTACACTTGCCACGTGAGTTTTTACCTGGCACTGTCTACTACAAGAAACCACACAAACGTATACACACTGACATTGACTTCTTCCTTCACTTAAGCTTTGGAGTCTTGTCATTTTGATCATTATTCTTTCATCTGAAACAGTGAGAGACCAGCAAGATTTCCAATGAGTTGCTGAAGCTCAATCAGCTGACTGCTGTCTGTCTACCACCGCGTAAGATCAGCGCGCTCTTCTGCAAGTTTCTCAGCCTCCACGACCTTGTCAGACATGTAGAAATCAAGCGGGCGCTGAATGGACTGGATCTCGTCCGGCAAGTAGATGCGCTTAAGCGAACAGTCGGCGGCCCGAGCGATGCGCTTGGTGCGGGCCTGGTAGTCCTCGCCATTGACCCAGTGCAATGCCGTCTGCACGGCGGCCGTGTCTACGAGAGCGTCATCGTACTTGAGGCCGTACATGCTCAGCGACTTGCTGATGGTCTTCTGATAGAGTCCTGCGACTTTAGAGATGAAGCTCATAGTTTTATCAAGGTGTTCCCGTTTCTTAATGGTAATGCGGCCAGGACTACCGTCCAATCCACCACACCATCATTACATAACTTACTGCACGACGTATATCTTGGTTTTTGTAGGATAATTAATCGCCAATCATGTCCGCTTTTTATTCATTAGTATATTTCGTCATGTAAAATACCCAATCCCCTTTTTATTTTGCACTTTTGTATCGCCCTCGGACACTAAAAACTACTAGGAATTGTTACTGCAGTAGCAAAAAACAATCGATTAAAGAGAGGATTCATCTACGACAAGTTGCGTCTAGAGGATCGTTTGAACCACGAAGGTGCGAAGTGTATAACGGTAGACGTTCCATGGAAGGTAAAAGTTCTATTGCTAACGCCGTCCCCATGGCTCAGACGGTAGCGGAGATTAGGAAAGCAAGTGGTGGGCAAGACGTCCCTGAGTTTACTCCATCACCTCCAGCTAAGAAGAGAAAGCGACGTGACAAGATGCCACGGATTTGGCTTCGTTTAGAGCTTTTTGAGCTTGGCCTCTTGCCTTTACCGTCCAAATATATGGCTACGTTAACTTTAACGAACGTAAAGAATGTATTGGATTCGTTGCACAATAAATTACGGACTGGAAGAGAAGAGGAAGGACTGTGTGAAGATGATACTGTCATGCTGGATACGGAAGGATCATGTTTTACAGAGAGTGACAATTTCACTTCCATTACTTTTTCCGTCTGGAAAGAAGCAGTCGAGATGATTTACCAATGGCGAGACGAGTACTATCAAGTCTTTTGGTTGCTATTGGTGCATTTTCATCGGATGATTTCTGTAAAGAATGAAGTTGTGGACGTAACTGTGCCATTGGATGTCGAACAGTGTCTTGAGAGAGAGGAAGTACCGGTATATAAGATTGCCATCTTCCTCTTTATTCAGACAGTAAAACCACACTCGTGGAGAACAAAATATTCACTTGACATGTATAATGCCGTCTGGCACCGGGAACATGCCGAGAGTTTAGCTGCGGCGGCTGCTCTGGAAAGTGCGGGTGCTGTGGGTGCTGCTATAGTGCCAAAATCACCAATAATGACCGCTCTAGGGTCTCCGCTGATGAGGGGTAGTGCTAGTCCACCGCCGCCACAGTCACCACATACAATGGGCATGGCGAACCGCTCGACAGCAGACGCGTATTACCTGGCATTCGTACGCGAGGAGCTGGAAAATTTATTTGGACTGCTTTACCCATCGGTGGATCTCAAGGATGAATCGTTGACAGTTATCAGCGCAGATCAACTCGACCTATTGGGTTTTTTATTGTGTCCAGGTGATGTAAGTCTTGTGGACAAGAATGTCAAGCTGAGCTCGTGTTACCCGACTTGGGAACAATCCGATATTAGCAACACTATGACAGAGACTGACGATGCTCAGGAATTTGTGCCGCTTGTGGAGAACGGAGCCAAGGTTTGTCGGTTCTACAAGACCCATTTATCGCTAAACGAGAAAATGTACCCGCCGGTAGGGTTCTCTATAACTTCCTCAACTATAGCCCAGAACAGCCTCTCAGCGCTGTCACCTCCCGTCTTTTCGCTAAACGGTCACCTTGCTTCGTTCTTCGCAGCGTGCGTGCTATTTATTTTAGTGCTAACGAATGTGTGGCTTGTCCGTTTCCATTTCTTTTGTCCAGATGATTTTTCATTGGATGGTAGCTCAGACGTGCCCGTTCCAGAGGAGACAGCATGTCGTCCGACGATTTTATCCCAACTTACAAAGGCAACCGTGATCAAGCGCGCAAACGAGCTCATGGTGTCCGACGACAGCGGCCAACGTCCGGATCTCACCATTTTCTCGTGTCAAGACTCGTACATCTACATCTTGGGGCCTGTTCGATATCCTTTTATTCACTTATTGCATGTGTTGCATTTATTTGTATAAGCGCTGGTAGTGCAGTACCAGTGCTTGTTTGTTTGCATACCTACAGTTATCCTTAACCTTGCTTGTTCGGATTATTACGAATGTGACAATTTTAGCTTGCAAGAACTGTCGTATCGTCCTGGCGCCAAACACGGGAATATTGTCATTGGAGCGATGTGAAAACGTCCAGCTCACTTCACTCTCGGGTCTCATCCGCGTCAGGTATGGACGAATAACACTTGTTGTGCGACGCCGACAAACTACGTTATTCCCTCCTCCCCGTCTGAGTACTTATTCCTACGTGTGAATCTCATGTTGCAGCAACTGTCTGGACACGCGACTCAATGTGTACACACTGTTACCCGTAATTGTCAGTGGTGAAAATGTCGGCCTGATTCTAGGACCGTACAACACCAAGTATGCCGGTTTGAAGCAGCAATTGCTCACGATGCCATTTCTGTACAATGCTGAGTCAATGGGCTGTTGGAACAGTTTTCTGGACTTGGACAGTGATAAAGGTATAGCTGCCTTTTGTTTACTGTGTACTTTTGTATTCCACAGCATTTCATTCCAAAGCGTTTGTTACTGACTCGCTGCTGCTTCTGCTTTACAGATAACATGGCCGACACAGACAAGCCCCCGGTTTCAATTCAAGTGCCCGAGACTTTCCGCGATGTGTGTGTACCGGTAAAACCGGGAACGGGAGCAGGTTCCGCCGAGCGTCCCTTTTCAATTCCTCCCGAGTACATTGCTGCCGTGAAGAAACAATACGAAATGGTAGAGTCACTACGGCAGTTGGTGACCAGTGACGAGTTTGATTTGACAAAGAAACGGACGATGGAAGTGGTGATTCAGCTCAAGTTTAAAGAGTGGCTATCGTCTACGAGCAATGTGCGACAGATTTTGGACTTGGTGCATCTGGACCGTGTGAATGAACCCGCCAGCAAAGAATGGTAGCGTTCCATGGAGGAAGCAGAGAGAGACTAGAAAAATAACGCAAGCTTATACTGACTGACGACTATAGTCGAACAAGTCGAAGTGAGCTCCTGGTTTTGATTGGTTTTAAATAGCGTTAGCGAATCAAAAGCCGATAAAGCATATGCGGCACGTTCGTTTAGGTTTTGACCCACGGGCTAGAGGCTGGGCGACTATTGCATCTTTATACACAATATCGAGGTCATCCCGCCTCGATCCATCTCGTCGCGCAGCCATCCATCTTTGCCCATTCCACGTCTTACGTAGCTCTTCAATTATTCTCATTCTTGCATTTGCCATTTATTAAATTCATCGACAGTATCGAAACATCTCCATCTACTTGAAACATGGTCGCTGTTGATAGTGCAACCCTTGGTTTCCCTCGTATGGGACCCAACCGTGAGCTTAAATTTGCTCTTGAACGATTCTGGCGTCACAAGATCAGTGAGGAAGAGCTCTATCAAGTCGCACATGCCGTGGAAGAAGCCAATTGGCACAAGCAAGTAGACGCTGGTGTAAACCGTGTGGGTGTCGGTCTCTTCTCACTCTATGACCATGTTCTGGACTGGACGTACTACTTGGGTCTAGCTCCTGAGCGGTTTGCCACGGTTCCTACTGGTCTATCGCAATATTTTGCCATGGCTCGTGGTGTCGACGGTATTCCTGCCCTTGACATGACCAAGTGGTTTGACTCGAACTATCACTATGAAGTCCCGGAGCTGAATGCCAAGTCTACGCCTACGGCCAATTTCACCTCATACTTGAGCACTGTCAAGCGTGCTCATTCTACTATTGGCATTGATAAGGTCGTGCCTATTATTCTTGGACCTCTTACTTACTTGTCTCTAAGCAAGTATGACGGTACTACTCTTGAAGACCTTTTAGTTAAAGTACTGCCTCTTTACACGTCACTTTTAAACGAGCTTGCTGCTCTTGGTGTCACGGAAGTTCAAGTACACGAACCTTCACTGGTCGGTGCCAGTGCTGACAAACTTGCCAAGCACCTGACGACCGTGTACGGTTCTAAGGACCAGAAGGGTGCAATTCAGCACGAAACGATTGCTCTTAATTTGGCCACGTACTTTGAAGAGATCAACCATGAGGTGTACAAGTGGTTTGCCACGTCGCCTGTGTCTGCCATCTCTCTTGACTTTACACGTGGTGACAATCTATCGGTCCTGCAGAAATTCGGCTTTCCGGCTGGAAAGCGTCTAGGTGCCGGTCTTATTGATGGCCGCAGTGTGTGGAAGTTTAACCCCGACACGATTGTGTCTCAGGTGACTGAAATTAAGAAGGTGCTTGCTGCTACGGACAACACTTCGCTGACTATCCAGACAAGTTCTTCGCTACAGCACGTACCGTACACTGCGGAATGTGAGAATGCACTCAATGATGGAGAGACAGACGGTTTGCTAGGTGTGCTGAGCTTTGCTTACGAAAAGCTGGGTGAACTTGAGGTTGTCAAGAAAATTGCTGAGATTGGTGAAGACTCTGCTAAGGCTGAGGTTGATGCTGCTAAGAAGGCGTGGTCGGTGTACTACGAGAAGAACCCTGCCAAGACTGCTGTGCAGTCGCGTCTTGCTGCTGTGACGGAGGCAGACTTCAAGCGTCCTTCCCCGTTTGCTGAGCGTCGTCCCTCACAGCTTAAAGGACTGCCTGTGCTTCCTACTACCACCATTGGTTCGTTCCCTCAGACCCCTCAGATCCGTGCTCTGCGTCGCAAGCTTAAGGCCGGTGAAATTTCGCTGGACCACTACCGTGGTAAGATCGACGAACAGATTGCGTACAACATTGGTATCCAGGAAGCTCTTGGCCTGGACATCCTGGTTCACGGTGAACCGGAACGTACCGACATGGTCGAGTACTTTGCTGAGAAGTTGAATGGTTTTGCTTTCACGCAGAACGGCTGGGTGCAGAGCTACGGCTCGCGTTGTGTTCGTCCTCCAATCATCTTTGCTGACCTGGAGCGCCCTGTCGACATGACGGTGCGTGAGTTCGTCGTTGCGCAGTCATTCACTACCAAGCCGGTCAAGGGTATGCTTACGGGTCCTGTGACTATCCTGAACTGGTCGTTCCCCCGCAAAGACATTAGCCGCAAAGACCAGGCTTTCCAGCTTGCCCTGTGCCTGCGCGACGAAGTTGCTGACCTTGAAGCTGCCAAGTGCGTGGTCATCCAGGTGGACGAGCCTGCTCTTCGTGAGGGTATGCCGCTGAAGCCTGCTAAGAAGGACGAGTACTTGAACTGGGCTGTGGACGCCTTCCGTTTGTCGACTGCTGTTGCCAAGAACGAGACTTCCATTCACACGCACATGTGCTACTGCGAGTTTGCAGACTGTATGCACGCCATTGACGCTATCGACGCTGACGTGAACTCGATCGAGAATGCTCGTTCGGATGACGAGACTATCCGTGAATTCAAGTCTATTGGCTACAAGCGTGATCTTGGTCCTGGCACGTATGACATCCACTCGCCTGTGGTGCCGCCTAAGGAAGAGATAGTCAAGAAGCTCAAGAGTTTCTTGAACCTCTTGTCTGCCGAGAATGTCGTGGTGAACCCGGACTGTGGTCTGAAGACGCGCAAGTGGCCTGAGACCATTGCTGCTTTACGCAACATGGTAGATGCTACCCTCGAGGTCCGTGCTACCTTGTAAGCTCAATGGGTTGGTTCCATTTCCCTTGAAAAGACGAAAACGCTCCCCGAGAATTTTATCAACGTTTGTGCGTCAAGTTTATGAGGTAAAACTCAGGAACTTCGCTCACTTGACATGTCCTGAGCACATGGCCAAAGTGCCGAGACCTTAATTAGCAGGATGTCTCGCCACCTTGGATGATTTGAAAAATAAATGGTGTGGTTTTCACAGTAACATCTTCTTCGTGTTCGTTTCTCCTTTGAATATGTCGTGATGAAAGTGCTGATAGATAAAAGCGGGGATGTAAATTGGTTCTCGCTAGTGCATTAACAAAGTTATACATGCAAATGTCAGTCAACGTGACGAACCACAGCGATTCTTCCCTCCTGCCAGCCTCAAATAGTCAGTACTTTGTTATGACTCAATTTTATCCTTTAATAATCTATTTGGGTCACACAGAATACGATGCAGTACACAATTTTTTTTTAAAAATGGGTCATTTTATCCCTAATTCTACCCATAATCCAAATTTGCGATCGTCGGGTAATGCGACCACGTCTCTTCCCTTCGCTTGTGGCGTTCTCGCTATTGACCGCCCTCGTGGTCTCCCAACCCGACAATAATGATAACAAAATCACGCCTGATCCTGCTGACGCCTTGTCCGCCAATACTGCGGCTTTTCAACGTGCAGACCCCGACCATAACGGCATTGTGGATCCAACTGAATTTGCGACCTTTACGTCGTCTCTTAAGCAAGCAATTGACCCAATTCTGGGCCCATTATCGACTGAAACAGCCACGAATTCGATCAACAGTGGCAGTGCACGGACCAAGTTACGAACAGGTGGTCCACACAAGTTCTGGTCAGGCTTTGGGAGCGGCATGTTGACCATTTGGGCGACGGAAATTGGGGACAAGACGTTCTTTATTGCAGCAATTTTGAGCATGAGGAAGGACCGTATTATCGTGTTTGCAGGAGCAATTGGTGCCTTGATTGTGATGACGGTATTATCAGTGATTATGGGCGTAGTGGCGACTAAATTCCTACCACCAAGTGTGACACACTACCTCGGTGGCGTGTTGGTACGTAGATCATTAAAAGGAAAAGAGTGAGTGATGAGGATGAAGATTTGTACTGATTGTGTGTGCTTTAGTTTGTGGTGTTTGGGGTCAAGATGTTGTACGATGCACGAGAGATGAACGCGGTGTAAGCAGATGAAAACGAATGTGGACGGAGATATACGTGACGACTCATGTTGTATCTATGTGCTGGATGTGCTAGGGGTCCATCGGATGAGTTGACGGAAGTGGAGGAAGAACTTATGGGGAAGAAGGACGAAGACGCCATCCAGGTCGAGTACGGACACAGTTCATTGTTTTTCTTGTGGTCGGATCAAGTGTGCTGACGTAGAGACTACTTTTGGTCATTGATTGCAGACAAGTGGAGGAAGGGATGCTCAAGACAGAGCCTATGACGGACGGTATGATGCAGGTGTTCTCACAGACGTTTTTCATGACGTTCCTGGCGGAATGGGGCGATCGCTCACAAATTGCGACGGTGACGCTGTCAGCTACCAAAGACGCGTTCGGTGTCACGCTCGGCGCGATCCTCGGTCACTCGATGTGCACGGGCATTGCTGTCGTGGGCGGCAAGTTCCTGGCCACGCGCATCTCAGAACGGACTGTGACACTTGTAGGTGGCGTCATTTTTGTGCTATTTGCACTGCACTCGTTCGTGACAGGACCCAGTGTGTCGGAGTAGGCTGCGGAAGATGGCATCAAGGCAACAACAATCAATATAGATAAGTCGATGCGCAGCTCGGGCGCGTGCTTTGCTTCAATCGCTCTTCACGTTTCTGTTTTGCTGTGTTGTTTTAGTTTGCATGGCCTCGGACGCAGATTGCTCTTCCACATTCGTCCGCATAAACCAAAGTGAAAACTCGAGGCGCGACCTTGTCTAGCTTTCGAAAAAGTGTCTGAAATGGTTCAGGCTTCGACTGGTGTTCCTTGATACGCCTTAGCGCAGTACATTTGAGACCTTCCAACTGATTCGGAGCTTCTATTCCGACAAAAGAATTTCTTGTGTCTATCGCAGTTCAAACCAAGCTATCAGTAGCCACTCGGACGAGAGTGATAACAGCTCGAGGAGCGCATCCACTGTAAAAATCAGCATCAGAGTCTACGGTTGTTTACGTGGCAAAGGATCGGCGGCGTTCAAAGTGTTCAAGGGCCATTGAGCCGCAAATTGTAATGGGCCCTACCTGAAGTTAAATGTGCAATTAACAACATGATTTGGCTGCAACGAACTTGCTAAAGGCAAGTTTTGTGTGCGTGATTTCTACAATGACCTCCACGGCAGTGTGCTGATCAATATAGCTGGCAATTATTGTGCAGAACGAAGCCACAATAAGTACTTCAAGCTCTCGAGGCATATTCCTGGTTGTTTGACGTCTCTTTTCAATAGCGTCCCAACTGCGTCTTTCTAAGTCAAAAGAACGGCGTGAAAAACCAAACGACTGATCGCTGTTCTAAATCGGTGAACGGAAGTGGTCGCACATGTACCTACGCGGTGTTGCCAGAGGCATTGTGATGATGACGGCCAATGCGACCTCCCATATCGACCTCCAGGATGTGGCGAATTGATCTATGTCTTCTGGGTACCGAGGTAACAGCTTTGCTGTGACTTGCGGCGAGATGCGTGGTACGCTACAGTTTGCGCAGTGCTCGAGCCAACCCAGTAGGTGGGTAGGCTGTTGAGATGTACTCTCCCAATGACTGATAAGCCAGGCCCAGATTGCCTGAGCACGGGGACATCCCCACAAGAGATGCTCTGGGTCTCCTTTTGGCCTATACATTCCAGGTACGTGCAAGGTCCGTCCGAGGGCCGGTTTTGGTACCAAAAGTTTAGCTTTCCGGTAGCGTGTCGATATCGTGTCCATAGCTGGTATTCCGTTACCGCATGGCCGTGATTGTAACGGGGTTACACGACGGTTGTAACGTCTTTCCGAGAGTTTACGCTTAAACTCTCCTTTGTATTGCATATAATGCATTATTATACTTTTCGTTAGAGAGGTATTAAGTATGAGCGTTATAATACGGTATTCGGTAATACCGTATCTTATCGATTGGGATTCGATAAATCACTAACGCTGTATTAAGTACATCATACACAGATGTTTAGACGATACGTCGTCCAATAGCAAAGTCTGCATATAATAATTACTATAATAGTAATTAATCTAGTGTAGTGTACTTAAAGTAGGACTATTCATAATATCTTAAAGCATAAATAAAATCAGTTCTCCTTTTGAGTTTAAGATCGCAAGTCGTTCTGACTTGTTCTCTTGTGCACTTCGTGCGTTGGTTCTCTGAAACCCTAAGCTTCTAGCTTGTTCTTGCACTCTGTGCGTTGGTTCTCTGAACCTTAAGCATATTGCTTGATTGATTAAAAGTCTCTTTCCTAGTTCCTTAGAACAGGGTGACTTTAAGTCGTTTAATTAGTTCCTCAGAACTAAGTGGCTTTTAGCCTTCACTCTATTTAGTTCTCTAGAACTAAGAGGCTTCCAGCCGAAAGTCTTCCTCTGGCTAAAGAGCTGTGTAGCTCCGCTACACTTGGTAGCACTTGTAGTCAATCCTACACCTGAGTCTTTAAAGACTGACCCTCTGTGAGAATGGAGAATCAAAATCACCTCTCTGAGACACAGCGACTCGCCTTAGATAAACTATCGGCGTTCGTCGGGCCCGATCAAATCGAGGCCCTTTTGGCCCAAGGACCCGAGGTTCTAAATGCTCGTCTTGAGGCCTTTATGCGTTATGAGGCAACGCTCCTCGGGCAGGTCCATGACCAGGCAGCGTCAGCCGCGCCTATACAGTACATTCCGGTACTTGTGACCGATGCAGAGCCAAAGGCTCGTCCACTTGTTTTAAATGTAAAGACCTTCGAGGGGAGGGAGGGAGAGAACCTTCTCCTCTGGATCCGAGAAGTTGAAATGGCAATGGATGCCGCCATGCTTGCATCCGATAAGCAACGAGTTGGCTTGGCCATTTCTAAGCTCGGTGGAAGAGCTAGAGAGTGGGCTCTAACGAGCGGTGTCTCTGTAAATGCTGCATTTCCCACATGGGAGATGCTTAAAAAGCAATTAACTTGTGTGTTTGCACCGCCTAATCAGGCTTATCGTGTGCGCTCACGCTTCCTAGCTACCCGACAGGGTAAGAAGGAATTGTCGGACTATGTCCAAGAGTTGAGAACTCTCATTGCTGCTATGCAGCAAGACCCACTGGCAGAGGAAGTCCGAGTAACCATTTTTATGGAGGGACTTCGCACTGGGGTCGCCAGGACGGAAGTTTTCCGTGTCCAGCCTTCAACTTTTGAGGAGGCAGTAAGCATAGCATTTAACGCTGAATTCAATTTTAAATCTGCTCGATATGGTCTGCCCTGGTATCAATCAAATACCTCTAATAGGGCGGAACCCATGGACCTCAGCCATGCTGAAGAAGCTGAGCTTCAAGCTGCTGAGCAGCAAGGTAGCATCCGTAGATGTTACATGTGCGGAAGCACTAGGCATCTCCGCCCTAACTGTCCGTTGCGAAAGCAACGTTCAAATCGGCAAAGCCGAAGCCCTGCTCCTAGCCAAAAGGCGAGCACCGCAGGGGAAAATGTCGACTCCCAGTAGGCGCGGGGCGCCCTACTGGGAAAGAACTAAGTTCTGTTGAATCTTTAGGAGGTAAAGGTAAACAGGGCTTAGCCCCAGGTGGTTCTGTGGATGCTCCCATAGAACAAAATTACAAGCCAGGCTTGTTGGTTGTGTCGGCAACCGTTAAGGGTTTTGAGAAACCCTGGTCAATTTTAATTGACTCAGGGGCGTCAGGGAATTATGTCCGACGTCGCTCCCTTGAGGGGAGTCAGCTGTATGCTGATGCGCTGGAAGCGCAAGAGGGTGACAGTATAACCGTACGTCTCGCGACTGGTGTACGTGTCACCGTTCCTAAAGCTCCGTTGAACTTAGGCGTGAAATTTTTAGATTTCAATAGCGTTGAACGCTGTCTTGTCCTAGATTTGGACTCGAGATATGATCTCATTCTCGGTATGGCCTGGCTGGAACGCCATGAGCCGTGGATCGATTGGAGATCCAAAACTTTAGGCGCAACGCGCGATGTTCCTAGCGAAGCTTTGGAGAGTCATGAACCCACCTTCGCTAGAAAACAAAAGTGCTATTGGCGCGAGCCATTAACTGATTCAGTTAATGTGCTGGACATTGGAGTGTCTGAGTTGATAAACTCCGATGTCAACAATAATAGTGTCGAGCAGAGCTCAATGACACTTAGTGGAACGGCACGTACTCCTTTAAGTGATACTCATAGTAATATTGGCTGTAAATGCGATTTACTGGATGTCGGTAATGACATCGACTCTCGTATAGAGCAAGTTAAGGTGAATGACCTTGTTAGTGATATTGACTGTAAATGCGATTCACTGGATGTCGATAATGACATCGGCTCTCGTATAGAGCAAGTTAAGGTCGATGACCTTGTTAGTGATATTGGCTGGAAATGCGATTCACTGGATGTCGGTAATGACATCGGCTCTCGTATAGAGCGAGTGAAGGTCAATGACCTTGTTAGTGAAGTCACTGGTACTAGTGACCCACTGGATGTCGGTAATGACATCGGCTCTCGTATAGAGCGAGTGAAGGTCAATGACCTTGTTAGTGAAGTCACTGGTACTAGTGACCCACTGGGTGTCGGTAATGACATCGGCTCTCGTATAGAGCGAGTGAAGGTCAATGACCTTGTTAGTGAAGTCACTGGTACTAGTGACCCATTGGGTGTCGGTAATGACATCGGCCCTTACATAGGGCAGGTAAACGACAAGGGGTCTGTTGACCTTGGGGACGATAACATCCCAAGTACTTTGAAGAGTACGGTCTCGTCAAGGAGACGGCAGCGTCGCCAGATGGCGGCTGCGAGACGCAAAGCGTCTGTTTTATCGCATAGTAATGTCAATGACCAGTTGTACACCCTGGTCAACGGAGTGACAGGTGATGTAGATGGTGAGGTTGACCTTGAGGCCCTCCCATCATTAAATGCTCTTTTAGAGCTAGACGAAATGTCTGTGGATGAATTTCATCAGGCCTTGAAGGCAGGTGCTCTGTCCGATATGGTGGTCATTCGACCTAACCTCGAGCTGAACTCATCCTCGCTTGTCGATGAGACAGTCCTTGAAGATACCAAAGCGGCACTAAGTGCACGTAGTGGGGCATCTATTCTAAAGGACCCTTCAGATCCCTACTATCCTTTGGTAAAAGAATTCCAGGACGTGGTGTGTCACGATCCACCGTCGGTTCTACCACCTGATAGGGGCGTACGTCATGAAATTGACTTGGTTCCCGGAACCAAATACTGTGTAACACGGCAGTGGCCTTTACCCAAAGAACAGTGTGACGTCATTGACGAGTTCTTTCGTGCGAAGCACGCGGCGGGCATGGTGCGTGAAAGTAAATCTCCGCACTCGACACCCACTTTCTGTGTTAAGAAACCAAATGGTAAATGGCGTATTGTTCATGCTTATAATAAGCTCAATGCGGCCACTATACCTGCACAGACACCGATACCTAAAAAGGATGTTCTTCAGAACAATATGGTCGGTTGTACCATGTACAGTGCGCTCGACTTAGTCGATGGTTATTACCAATTGCTCATGCGAGCTAGTGATATTCCGCTTACTGCTGTTAGTACTCCGAGCGGTATGCTCTGGGAGTGGTT